AAGAGGTGATGTCCTCATCACAACAAACACGGAGTGACATTCTCAGCTGAAAGAAAAGGCCATCTTACATCAGGTTTAGGCACGTCCGTCAGGACAGGGACACCTGGTGCATGGTTAACTTAGTATTTGCAAAAAGTCTAGCTTCTAAAAATCTTGTAGCAGCTCATACGCGTTTACGGTATTTAAATTATCGAATGTGAGCTGCTCCTTCATAGCTGATACTGGCTGCAGTCTCAAATACTGTGAAGTTAGTCTTGATGACGACCACAAGACCATATTGCTTACGTAGGCGGTTGAACACAACCTTGACGATGATAATCGGACAGTGCGAAGCTAAGACACCACGTTCAGTGTGAGTTGCCTGCAAAGTCAGGATACCGTATAAATATCAACGTTTGTTCGGACATGGGAATCTGCCAAATAACGCATCTCATTCATGACCAAATTTCAGGCCATACTATACCGCCCTTTTGCTCCTAGTTGCTTAGGCGTGCCTTTTGCGTAGGTCATCGCTTAATGGTATTTGTACACTCAGAGTAACAGAGGCATCTCGCTTCATTTTGCTTGCTAGAGCCACCTTACGCTCATTACAAACGATGCATCAAGAGCTGACACTCAACAGGAGCAGGCGGGTGCACCATGAAATATGGTGTTGGAGATGTTTGTGCGTGCGCAATGTCCTTGGCAATCGCTGTTTCACAACACTTCTGCTATAAGTCATCGGTTACTGCATCGAAGAAGGACCAATTCTTCTCCGAAGCCAGACCTGCCTCTAAATTTATAAGCTGCTACTCGCTTTCCGGTAGACATCTGCTGTGTTTCGGCTGTCACACACGAAGCAAATGGGATGGAATAAATGGTTTGTGCTCATCCAGTTTATCCGACAGAGCCAACCTCCTTTTCTCAATTACAGATCTACCGAGGTCACCTGTGCTTGGAAAAGAACCGATAGATTATCATAGTTATGCGTTTAGGCCAACGCTGCTGCATGCAGTTCAACTGCTCTTCTTGCTCCTTCGTCAAAACAACTGTAGCTACGTGCTACAAAAATACTGACCTGACAGAATTAAGGCTTAGGCAAAGGGCTACCCCTTCACCAACTCAAATATATGTCAGGTTAACAAAAGCACTGGATGCGAGGGCGACTTCACATCTAATTCTGACCGAATGGGGCCATCGCTGAAAATGACTGAGCCAACATATTTAAACTGATCGACTTCTTCCGTCCCTTCCTCTACCTTTCTCCATCTGTTTGGCTGTGGCCTTCGAGGGATCGTGCGTTATTTGACATTCGGGCGTACGAACAACGCAGATGTTCATGCAGTAGCATATGAGGAGTACAAGCTCCTGAAACACTGTCTGTAATGAGCACGAAGCGGATCTAAAAGGCAAAATGATACGAGATGCATCGCGGAGTGCTTAAATGCCGTCCGCCCTAAGGCAGTTAAAAGCAAAGGACGGAGCAAAAATACGCTGTGAAACCTGGACCTTGAAGAGTCATCAGTTATCTAAAGTCAGGATAGTCGTATTCACATTCGTGGAGAACCTGGCAATGCAGTCTAACCTAGCGATCGAAAGGCCCTCCACGTCGGTTTGCATGCGTCGGTTTATGCCAGCCCAAATCGTTCGTGCTACAAAACTTAAATAAGAATCATTTGGTTTGAAGTTATCCGCCTGGGTACGAGCCGTAGATTCTGAGGTGATTAGGCAGAACTCAATAAAAGCCAGTGGGAGTGCGCGCTTGGGTACGTGATATTTGTCGTCATAACGACATCGACTGTGTTTCACTAAGTTACAGGATGTCATAGACAAATGTCATAATCTATTCCAATACTGCCATAGTCACACAATTCCAAATTTGCCACGCAACGGAAGAATGCTAGTTTTTTAATTTCTTGGTATTATGCTCACTATCTTCTGATTTGGTCTATCGGATCGACCCCTAAACATGGACATTATCTTGGCCTCCGAGCCGTTATTGGAAGAATGCCTGAGGATGATGACGGAAAATTTTCAACATGCATCTTCGGGGAAGAAATACCGATACTGGTCCCCAATCCTGCCGTTATGGCTTGTAGTAGGATCGGCTTTCTCCTACACAGAACTGCCTTAAAAAGCATG